CTATCACAGTGTGATCGGAGTGTTGTGACCTTTACAGCCCTCTAGTTTAGTTACTCAAATGAGACTAGATATTGTTGTATGCCACCATCTGAGAGAAAACGTGACCAATCTGGCAACCCAGCAATAGAACCACCACAGCATCCGAGTCGGCCGTGAGTAGGTACGGCCTGCCGCCCTGGCGCACCGCCGAGCGTTGAAACAACCGCGAATCGACGTGCACATTCCGCGACCAGCTGACCTTGGGCTGTACGATTCTCTATCTGCGCCAAGGTCAGTACAGCCATCTACCATCATGCTGGGATGTTGCTTCTTTTAGCTCCGATGACAGACAGATACATTATCCTGATACACCTTGATGTTTTGTTGGGAAAAAGGACACAGGTTGTACCTACATTGTTATGCAGCTATATGAAAAATGAATATTGCTACAAGAGATAGGCCAACCTTGGGCACTCTCGAATTCTGCAGAATTCCTATAATGGAGCATTTGACTAGTTTTAAACCTTAACGGTGAAATATGCCAATTTTCAGAAGCAGACGGTACAGGGAGCATGATATTTTTCCCACAAAAGTACAGTCACATCACTCTGTACGTATCGCAGGGTAATGGTCTCAAAATGAGATCCTTGTGGATTCCAAAATTTTTCAAATATTTGCAGATATATTGACATGTTCAAATCATTTATAGTTTCACATGTTCGTCTATGATAGTAGGTTAGGTGCGGTTAGATCCCAGTAAATGCATCTAATTGTATCCTTCGCTTCTTGACCACTGACGTCATCATTCTTCCGTTGTTGCCGACATTCGCGGGCAAAAACCCGAATGAAATCATAATGATTTTCACTAAAAAGTATTCTGTCGTTGGCGACAAAGGCTCGTACTAAAAACAAAATAAGGCAGCAATGAAAATGGAGAAAGTGTGAGTGACAATCTTATATCACGGTCGATGGTCTTGTTATTGTTGTTACATTAATTTAACAGCATTATTGTGCGTTTCTGCGGAATGCAGCTCACCAGCTCTACTTTTCATTTGCGTTCTTTGTTGCTACGACAATTTACTGTCGTGACATACATATATTTATATTTTGGCTAGCGTAAAACTAGCACCATTGACCTGAATGGATGCTAAGAATTAGCGGACAGCCCTGAGGATTAGTTCTTGAAACGAGGTATTAGAATAACTAGCAGCTTTGAGATTTACAAATAACTTTAAGAATGCATCCACTTTTGACAAAATAATATTATATTTGTATTTCACAAGTTTTTGTGTTCTGGTTGCGATTATGAGCAAAGTATCAAACTTATTGAACCTTAATGCGATGTCATATCTTTTTTAGTATCTCAGCCCTAGGATGTCCGCAGGCCGGAGTTTCCAAAAAAGTGAGAAAAATAAGCACATCGGAAGAATAAATTAGAATTTTGGAAGGAAAAATAAGTTTAATGGTACAGACCTAAGATAACGCGAGTATTTCAAGTTTTTGGAAATAGCAATAATAAATAGACGTGGACTTCGTATTCCACGTATTGAGCGTTAGAAGGCAGTACCGGAGATGCACCATAGTTCCCTTTGACATAATATAGCAAAAATACATCCCTTCGGTATTTTCGCATAAACTTTTTTGCAGTATACATAATACAAGCATTTTTGATTATTGATCAAGTTCCTTCGTATCTTTTGATATCTAACCAATACTTTTAATAAAGAACTATCTTACTCTCCTGATCTTACAGAACGTATGTAATTTATATGTAGTTTAGTTTAGTTTAACTATCATACCCAGTACTATTTCAATTTTAACTTTGATAGTTTCTCATTTGACAGAGTATCCCAACTAAACGACCCAGTCTTTTCTTTTTTTACGTAATTGTTTCAGTTTTATCTTAGCGAGTATTCGGGTATTCTTCAACCTTCGATGATTAATCAGTTGTTTTCCTTTCGTATCCACGTAGTTCAGCTCCACTTAACCCCAACCGACTGTCAGGCTTTTACTTGAATGTCTCCAGCCTGACGCTCCTGAGAATGAAGTGTCTTGAAAAGCGATGAGGTCATTGCTTTTAAAGATTCCTCTGATCAGTGCTTAATTATTAAATATATAACTAAGTGTAAAATCAACCAAGTAAATTGAGCTTACTGCGCGCCGATCTTAAGAAGCCTTAAGAAGACAGTAAAAATAGGTAAGTTACCTTACACCCTTTGCTCAAAATACTGCCAATAAATTAATATTTCGTCTTATTAACGGTTTCCGTTGATCAACTCGAACTGCACCACACTGTTTACAATATGAGCACTGACTGACATCGTAATTAACGAATTCCATCGCGATCATTATGACTAATTTTTTTAGATAATTAATTAATGTATTGGATTAGTTAGTTAATTACATTTCACTGATTAATGCAATAATGGCTAACCTATTACAGATCATCCAAACTGATCATTATCGTTAATATTTATTACATCCTAAGGTGCCGATAACACAAAGATGATAACTTGAAAGCTTTTCCCTGAAAATTGAGGAGTAGGACAGTAGGAGAGAAGGGAGCTGCTTAACTTGGGCAGTGCTTCAGAAAGCAAAAGCCGATGATTGAGAGAAGAAAAGCAGGAAGAAAATTATATGCTTAAGCAGCATTTTTGAACACGTGTGACTTTATCACATAGGAAGAGCGAGGGTGGCCGTGCTTCCAGCTGCCACGATATGCTAAATCTTGATTACTCTATTTAACAACTAAGCATCTAGAGAGCCTCATTGCACTCTGGAATATCTCAAAATAATGAAATAAATAAGCATTCCAGGATAAAATGAGTAAACATGAGAAGTTGGAATACTAATGAGAAAATATAAGAAAAATGAGTCCGTGGACACCCTGCTAAACTTTGTTCTGGATACGCCAGTGCCAAACGCAAACAAACCTCTATTGAACAACAGTAGAGAGTCGCTTAATATTCTCGTTTTAGAGCTGACGTATTCGATATATAGGAGTTTGATAGCAATAGCAAGTCTGGCAGTTTTCTTTAGTGTGAATTTTGGTGGCCGTGGTTGAGGAAAAAGGCTAGATGTGGCGTAATTACCAACATTTGCTCCAATAGGAAATTGCATCTGGACTATTTCTATGATAATTTGGTTCCTCCTTTCAAGAAAGTCTTGCTAAGATGTGATTTACAGTTAGTATGGATCACCAAGAATACAAGCAGAAGCATATATTCAAGAGTATTAAAGTAAATTCGCTCAATTTTCATTTCATAGTTTCCGTGAAGACTAAAGAGGTGACCGACCGTCCTAAACGAGCATCCCTGCGCATTTCATCTCGTATTCTCTCATCCCTTCCTCAGAAAAAGTGTAAATTGTATCCAAAAGTTCGCATCATGAATGAAACGAAATTGCAGAAAGTTTTGCCAGCAGCGCGACAAAAGATGTTTAGATAAACTATTAAAAAACAAGTTTCAGCACTGAACGAAGTTATGTAGATAAGGTACACACAGTCAAGACAGCCATGGAAGGCAAGGCTTGAATAAAAGTTTATCTATCTGCAGTCTCCGGTGTGTGTTTTGTGTACTTAAGCTTCTACGTGCAATGCAAACATAGCATCGACGCAGATATGTTGTTTGACTTGTTGAGAATAACGTGGGAAAGCGCACATTCCGAGTTCTTGCGTTGGATTAGTACTTATTTGTGTTGATTAACAGGTGGATCATTATTCTGCATGCTTCAATCATCTTCAAGGGTGATGAACTATTTATTATTAATCATGACTACACAAATCTCTAGTCTTTTACTTCATAAAGGATTTGTGTTTTGTGACAAAAACTCCTTTCGTTTTACATCAGAAGTGGGATAAGAACTTCGTGACTTTTGATGCCCTCACTACCCATCAAGTAGGTGAGTCCAGTGCTGCCAAACCAACCGTGCTAAGAACGGTAGACATCACGTTTAGCATGCGGTAAATTCCAAAAATAAACGGTAGATTTCGAAAACTACCGTAGGAGGCGTTGCGCGCGCTTGCCGTTCGTGACAATTGAAGGGTTAGGGGGAGGGGTATGCTTACATCTCCCAAGATGCAGCAACTCGACTTTATTGATAAAATGATAGGCATGAACGTCCAGAAGTGACGTATATAACCGAAACTTGTGCGATGAGAAACTAGAAATAAAGCATTTTGCGGTTAAACTATGGACTCGTCAACTCAAGTAGATTGATATTTTTATAAACTACTTGACTAGACATGAGAAAAAAATTATTTGAAAGGTTAATGCTTGAATCGACTTGATTGTTTCATTGTTCTACTTGACTTGAGGTCAAGGATTTTAAAACTACTTGACACTTTATAGAAAATTATACTTTTGTTCTATCGATGACAAGAGATATATATTTTTACAATCGATGAGCCGTATTTTGTATTTTGATGCAAGTAATCACGAGTGCTGAAAGAGGCATGAAAATGTATTTTCAAATCTAGTCTTAATAACAAGATATTTTTATGGACACCTTCAACATCAGCGGCCACTGACGAGTTTAGGGAATGTAAAGCTAAATAATAATTCTTAATTTTTTTTATCAAATGATGAAGTAATGCAAATTTTTTCTATTTGAGCCTACAGTCTTATCGTTCTATTATTTGTTATACGGTGAACAAATTATTTTTTTCAATATGGCAATATAACTTGTGACTAATTTTTTCCGTTGTGTATTTATAATCTAATTGTATTTAAATTACCAAAATTAACAAGTAGATCCAAAACTATATGAATTTTCAAGAACTTTACGTAAAAACTACTTGATTTAAATTTCTAATATCTAATACTTGACTTGGGCCTGACTTGATTTCAAGTCAAGTCAAGTAGCTTGACAATCAAGTCAGTCGTGAGTTCCTAGGTAGAGCCACTCCCAACGACAGGATTAGTTTACTCCACAAATGTGAGCCGCATACCAAAAGGCGGTGTCCGATAAAATACCAAAAATTCCAGTTTCAAAGCAAATCTATAGTCCATGTCAAAGCTTACCGTTTCCCCGAAGTGATCTGGCTCCTTCATACCATTTCTCGTTTCGTAGGTCCCTCCTGAAATAAGAAATAAAATTAGTTATGTTACTTAATTATGTTATGCTAAATGATTATATACATCATGTAGGGAGTCTCAAATTTGCAGCACTTAACGGCACGGATATATTTCTAGCAAGCTTTTATATGAGACAGAAATGTGAGTAGTCGAAATACAAGTATACTATATCTTATGCTACCAGTGACCTGGAAGCAAATTCTAACCCGATTTCTTATTCCTAAACCCAAGGCATATTCTGGTGCACAACTGTGAGCTGAAACACCATTTATCATCCTTATACTATTGGGGAGAAAATCCACATTCAATGTTTCAAAAAGTAAACTACGTGATAAATCGTAAGAAAGCTGGTAGCCTGGGACAGGCAAATGTCGCTCGAATGCTGTTGGAATCCAAAATGAGGTAGTTATTGAACAAGTGAACTAACCTTCCGATAACCTTTAATTGTGCAGGTAAAAATGCGGTACGAAGTATGTACTCGTACCTGTATGTTACGTTCTACCAGTATCGGTTGCTGATGATATCGACGCTGTTAAGAATAGTTTTGGAATTGGTAAAACATTTTTAATAGATTCAAGGATACTAGATATTATTGAACTACTAAGTAGCCTATTATTGAAGCATTATTATGCAGGAAAAAATTCACTATGAAGTATTCTACATTTTACTAATTTATAATAATACACAATAATAACAATACTCGGTGACAGGTAGTTACGTCAAGCTTTGGTTTGTATCACCTACTTAAAATAAAATCAGGAAAACACCCATTTTCTCTTATAACAACAAATGTAATATGTAATATATTGTTGAATTAGTAGACAAAGATACTACTCAAAAACGAAACATCGGACACCAAATTTAAAAACATCATCATGTAGTGCTTAAAAAGTGCCAATGAAAAAGTCCATTAGTTTTTTGATATTTCTCGAAATACAGTCTGATAAAAATAAAAAAAGTTTGGCCAAATTTTATTTTTTTCTAAATACCTCAGTAAGCCATGACATTTTTACAAGTTTCTCAAAGGCATTTAAATACGCCCCAAAGAACACAGCTTTTACTTAATTTATCCTAAGCATAGGATCCTTATCTTGGACATATATTATTTAACACCTTACCCGAATGCCTAATATATGACATTTCATGGTACTTTCATGGGATCGCAGTCTTCTAGTACCTTATTATTATGATTATAATTGTTTCGTTGCAGTTTAGGCTATGATCGGCAGTAGATAGGCAAGGATAAAGCGTATAACGTTCAAGTTTATCGATAGTTCTACATTAAAAAGCAGACAACGCTTCCATAATTCAACTAGGTAACTTACTAACGATAACGCAGACTGATAGCTGAAGTGAACTCAATGCTCCCTATGTAAATTTTCAATGTACCATATACTAAAATTATGTGCCTGAGTTTTGATATTACTGGAGAAGTATTTCTTGAAGTCGATAGAATGCACATGCCAGCAACTAACAATGCACTTAGATAACGTATCCGTTTATTGGTTTACTAACTGGCAGTTCAACTGCAGAGATAAATAAACACTTACGGCTGTAGGAAGATATAATTCAGCTTGAAATGCACTAATCCGGTCATGAATAGGTTTATTTATAGGTGGACTAGCTGTAGACACAGATATATCATAACATACGATCTACATAACTGGTTGTTATGGTTTGCAAATATGTCCTACATTCCGTTTTATAAATAATAGCCATATTTCTAGCAGGATGAATATATGGTATGTATTTCTTTTTGTTTTATCTTAAATACTCTGGAAGGCTCCATGCTGAATGTTGCAAAGCGCGAGTCGAGACTCGCTACATTATACTTGTATGATAGTATGCAGGTTAAAAGTTGATATATAGGACCAGTTAACTTTGAAACATCTTCAGGTTCATATGACTCCATTGCCTAGCTGCATCAAACCAGCTGTATGTTTTAATTTTTGTTTCTTGTTTGACGTTTCGTGTGGTTTGATTCGGCCAGACAATGGAGTCCAATGAAAATGAAAACCACAAGACAAATTTCAGGAGTTAACATTCTCTTCAGGCTTTTAATACAGAAAATTATTTTTGTAATCACCCTTTTCATATAAATTTCTTGGAATCAATTAGATTTGGGGTCTAGAGGATCACAGTTTCCTGTTATAAAGTTGCTGATGTTTCGGAAAAATGTATTTCCTTCATCAGTGCTCCTTTTACGAAAGATTATTACGAGGTACAGCTAGACACAGGTTCATTTGTTTTGATATGTTGATAAGTTGCAGTTTAAATGGTACCTAAAATGTGCATAGTGTTGGATTATCTTTTAGTCACCACAGCCAATTTTCTTTGCTTAATAAATCCAGAAAATGTTTCATGTTATGTTCATTATGTATTTGACTATAGTGATATATTAGTGGTAACTGAACAGTATCACCTCCATTTATAATTTGTATTTGTGCTTCATCGTCGCTGATACAACCATTAAGTACTCTACAAGGAAATTCACAATCCTCCATGTTGACACAGATATTGTCCAAACATGATTTTCCCCTGGTAGGTTCATTTATGGTTTTTCTTATGTTCCGCAAGCTAAGAAGATCTGATAAACTACTTAATTTTCCACTGGAGCATAAGAAATTAACATTGAAGTCTCCACAGATGACTATTTGTGAATATTTAAAAAAATGAGTGATCTGATTAAGTGTTTCATTGAGCTTTCAGGAAAACTTCAAAATTTGAAACTGGGCTTCTGTAAATGACTAACACAGTGATATTAAAATGTTTACAATAAATTGCCGCACACTCAAACTCCTTATTAATATAACTCAACTTTACACTTCTGGAATGAATACTATTTTTAGAAAATATAGCAGCACCGCCGTGTTTATAATTACTTCTACAATACTTCTGTAGCCCAATGTTCCGTGGCGCAGAAAATCATCATCAACTAGTGGGAAACTGTAAGCCGATTAGTGACGGCAGTCATCTACAACTGGCTGCTTTGAATTATTGAATATGAATCAATGTTAATGGTGTAGACGCACCCTCCATAAATCCCTCTCAAGATTTTGTGGTTATGGGTATCTAAACTATCTCGACGTGTGAAGGAACTCGGTGAGAACCACTTGACGCGGCGCGTAGGGCGCAATATGCAGTGCTGTACCATACATTCAACATACCACACAGTAAAACAGATCATGGAAAATGAAACTATAGTCTTGGATAGTGTTCTTTTAGATACATGTCTGAGTCCAGTTGGTTGCATTTATTTTTCATAACAAAAGGGCCGGAGATCTGACCATGTGCGTATGCATTGTTGTCCCGCAGGAAACAAAGCCGGGGTCCATTATCAAGGATTTCGAGATCGGTGGAGATTCTTTAGATAAAGCAACTTTGTACTTTACCAATTTTTCAATTCTTTCCAGACCATTTATTCTCTTTTCAGGTTTTATCACTCATCTAGAAATTAAACGTATACTCTCATCGAAGTAACATCATTGCAAAAACAAAAGGAGCTAAGTTCTCATCATAGTACGCTCGAAAACGTGATAATTACATCTCACACAAATAATCAGAAAATTAGAAACATCCTGGCCTGTTGTGGTGTGGCCCTGGCTTTCTCGTGACCTAGATGTGTACAATGCGTAGTTAATCTACATACGAGGAAAAGGCGTAAGAGTGTTATTGCTAAGATAACCATCGCGACTCGCGTGCCTACTACTTATGTTTATTAGTGCTGTTGTGGGAAACAGAAGTGTTTTGAGGAACTGCATAAAGAAATAATCCGCCTACCCGCCATGCTAAGGTCAAGGAGACACTAAGTCTACAGGATGTCCCTAGTAACGTTAGCGTATATGTTAGGTTAGGTTAGGTTAGGTTTCTTGTGAGTGCATCAATAACGATCCTCCACTGCGACTCTCTGGTCCATTCTGGCTCACACCTATTTATATTTCCCCCAGTAGCTCCGACCTCCTAAGGAAGTCGATCAACTCGTTTGGATTAATATCCTCCAGGTCTTCCACTTGGAGTACTACGTCTCCAAGTATGTTGTACCTGATTGGCAATTGCAGGGCATCTGCACAATGCATCATGCCTGACCGTTTCATCTCCCTCCATGCACAGTCTGCACTCAGCGTCTTCCACCATGCCCAGCCTGCTCATGTGGTGACGCAATTTGCAATGACCTGTGTACAGTCCTACTAAAGCTTTGAGGCTATTCCAGCTCAGCCGTAGCAGAGTCTGTTACCATCTTTATCAAGATTGGTATAGTTGCCTTAGCATAGGTTAACCCTGCTAATCCTTCCCAGTATTGATGGATCTTTCTGTCCGATCCCAATCGCTGGCTCAGGCCCTATGAAGGGTGTGCTAGCCCCACTCTTTGCCAGAGTGTCAGCTGTCTCGTTTCCCTCTAGACCTGTGTGTCCTGGTATCCATATGAGACAGACTTCATTTCCCTCTCCTTTGCCACCAAGAGCTTCTTTGCAATTCCACACTAATTTCGATATCGAGTAGGTGGAGTCAAGTGCCTTAAGTGGGGCTTGAGTATCTGAAAAAATAATTATAGTTCTGTGCCTCAGTTGCCGTTCTGTGATCATTCTGTCACCCAGTTCTATAGCATATAGCTCTTTCTGGAAGATCGATGCCCAGGTCCCTAGGCTAACAGATATTTTAATCTTTAGCTTCGGCACGAAGATACCAGCTATAACAACTACCTCGGTCTTGGAGCCACCTGTGTATGCATCAGGTTAACTTGCTGTTCCCATTCATTCCTGTGCGGAATTGTCACTGTGTAGGGTTTAGCATATCTTGTTTTTTTGGCATTATATCAGAAGGCATGCCCAGACTGTGGTGGTCTTGTAAGTCCACCAGCATGTCCGTCTCCTCCATAGTGATATGGTCCATTATACGATTTGTCACATAATGTAGTAGTCTATAAGATGTCTTTCTGGCCTCGCCTTCTACGTATATGTGCAAAGAGGGTAAATTAAGAAGGACCTCCAAAGCTGCAGTTGGT